CTAAATCCCATTATCCAGGAGGGTCCTGAAAACTTTAAATTAAATCCCATTATCCAGGAGGGTCCTGAAAACTTTAAATTAAATCCCATTATCCAAGAGGGCCCTGAAAATTTTAAATTAAATCTCATTATCTAGGAGGGTCTTGAGAACTTTTAAAATTAAATCCCATTATCCAGGAGGGTCCTGAAAGCTTTTAAAATTGAATCCCATTATCCAGGAGGGTCCTGAAAATTTAACTACTAAATTCCATTATCCAGGAGGGTCCTGAAAGCTTTTAAAATTGAATCTCATTATCCAGGAGGGTCCTGCAAATTTAAAAACTAAATTCCATTATCCAGAAGGGTCCTGAAAACTTTTTAAAATTAAATCCCATTTTTCAGGAGGGTCCTGAAAATTCAAAACCTAAATCCCATTATCCAGGAGGGTCGTGAAAGCTTTTAAAATTGAACCCATTATCCAGGAGGATCCTAAAAATTTGAAACTAAATCCCATTATACAGAGGGGTCCTAAAAACTTTAAATTAAATCCCATTATCCATGAGGGTCCTGAAAATTTTAAATTAAATCCCATTATCTAGGAGGGTCCTGAGAATTTTTAAATCCCATTTTCTAGGAGAGTCTTGAAAATTCAAAAACTAAATCCCATTATCCAGGAGGGTTCTGAAAGCTTTTAAAATTGAACCCATTATCCAGGAGGGTCCTTAAAACTGAGAATGAACTTACCTGAGGCATGCTCTCATCTTGGAGGATTCTAAACAGAATTTCTTGCTCTCTGAACCATGCTTTTCCATGGGAGGTCCTTGTGGATTAAAAAAAATTTCTTGCCCCTGTTTCAGAAAAAACGTGGTGGTTAATTTGTGGCATCGTTGCTGAGCGTCTGCTTCCGCCACTTACCAAGATAACTTTGATTTTAACTTGGACGGCCTTGACTGTTATCGACTGCAAATTTTCTTTCAACCCTTATCACAGAAAACACCTCTGCTCCATTCGTTCCCAGCATCCTCTATCTGTTGCATTTTGCTCATGAATTGACATTTACTGAACCCTTGCATTTCACATGAATTCCAAAGCATGTTGATTGTTACCAACTCAATGTGCATACCACTTTTTCCTGACTTATGCCACTTTGATGTGCTAGCCAGACTCCGCTTTGTGCAATTGGAAAGCTGGTAGTAGATTTTGAAGTGATTTCTTTATTTGTTCTGACCAAACAGACTCAAGAAGGGACTCAATCAAAACGAGAGAAACAAAATAAGGGACAAGGGAAAGAGATGATACCTAACAACAAAATGACGAAGTAGAAACTTATCAGATGTGGATACCAACTATAATGACCATGACATGCACATTTGGATTAAGTGGCCTAATCTCTCAAACAAGTCTAATATTCAACTCTTGTTGTACCTCCTCGCTGTGAAACTGGGCTTCAACGCTTCAATTGTCTCATTTGATCCACAATCCTCAGTCGACTTGTAGTGCCCTAAAGGTTTTCACCATCAAGCTTATCTCATTTTGCTCTTTTCTCAACTCACCGTCGCCTTACGGTGCCCCTGAGGGTTTTCACCGATAAGACTCTCTCATTTTATCATTTTCTCTTGTTATGCTGAGAACAACGGTATTACCCATGATGCAGGGAGATCATACTTTCAACACACACTTGATTTGGCATCCTCAAAGATTGGTCAGAAGGTCTTTCCTTGGACCGTAATGTAGGCTTTTGGATGGGGTTGGAAAGAAAGGATGGTATGAAGGCTCAAAATAATTTAAGATGAAAAGGGTTCAAATTACAATTTTTGGAATCATATCT